TGTTGCATACCTATTTACAAACAATTCCTTTAAATTTTAATCATTGATTACTATACATCTATTAAAAAACCATAATGGCCGACATCAGTGACAATGCGACAACAATTGAAAAAGAATGATGGCCGACAACTGCAACAATTAGAAAAGAATGATGGCCGACACTACGTCATAGTGGAGCAATAAAAATGGCCGGGGGCAGGGGAACTTGTTAGAATAAGAAAAATTAACCTTTTTTGCGACACATCCTAGTGTAGCTAGTTGTTTTATGAAGTTTTCAGAGTTTAGTAATGTAAATCTGAAGAAAGTAGTGATTGCAGAAGGCGGGAAGTTGAAGAAATTTCCAACATCCCACTATTCCATGATTATGGTGTCATATAAAACTACAAACAGATTTTTGTGCTTACTCTATCGCATAGTATCGCCCATAAAAACGAAGTTTCTATCCAATTATGTATTCCCTAGGATTTTTTTAAATTGAAGATGTTCGTATATTTTAACTAATTGCACTTTCAGCTTACCTAGCGTAAAATTGTATTGTCATTTTGATTCCCATTGGGAAGGAAATACAAAAGGTAACACAGCACTTACTTGCACACGCAATATTGTATTGCCCTTTGTGTCTTTTCCTTTCATGAATACATAGGTGCATAATTATCTCTTATCGCTTTTAATCAATACATTACTTATTTTATCATATTTATCAAATTGAGTCTAATCAAGTTTAGTACATGTGTACATAAAGGTATGGTATGTGTACATGTGTTTGGATACCGTCATTGAAAAAGTGGATTGAAAGTAAATTTTCCTTAATTTTTTAATGGAAAAGTACAGTTACAGTAATGGAAATTAACACGTACATAGTTCACCTGTGCACACGATGCAAATAAAAGGTTATTTAGATACTCATTAAAAATGTTCTTTTTATTAGTACTACATTAACCACTAGATAACCTTTCTTAATGTACATTAATTAGAATTTTATTTTTTTTACGTAGTTCTATACTTTTGTACAGAATTTATCGTATCTATGTTTTTAACAAAACAGTGTTGTATGAAAATAAATAAATGTAAGACAAAAATACCTGTATACAAGGTAAGAAAAAGTAGGCAATAAACGAATATACAGATATGAGACGAAAAATTAGGAAAACTGCCTTATTTTCGGTATCTAGAGCAGTGGAGGTATAAAACAGGATAGCGCAAGGTCGAATTGTCCTCAACAAAAACAAGTCACTTTTATGCTCGCCAGCGGTTTATTTAGAAATTCGAAAAAGATTGTTAAAGGTGCATGTCTCGAGCGCAACGCTGTACGGATGCGAAATATAGACGATGAACGCGCCGGAAAAAAAAAGGTTAAAAACATTCGAAATATGGTGTTACAGGCGAATGATGAGATAGAGATACCATGGGTACAGAAGGTTAGAAATGAAACAGAAGTTAAGAGGAGTAGTGGTAGACCTATATTAGTCCTTTGGACAATAAATTTGATGATAATATGTAATAACAGAAACACTGTTTGAACCCAAAATTAATTTTATTTTATGAATACCAGGACAAATTATTTATATTTATGTATTTCATAATACGTACTTATTTAATGAAACCCTACTGCGGCAGAATAATTTGTTTTGGTATTCACAACATAAAATTATGTAATTTGGATCTCAAACGGAGTTTTTGTTGGTCTTCGTCATGTGGAGTTTCAATGTGTAATAACTAGTACCATCAAGAATATAAAAATGATACTATGCCATTTTATTACTCCCAATTATTTGGATTTTAATCGTGTAGGTGACTCTTTTTCTCCAAAATTTTGGGGAATTTGCCATTCGTTTTTCAGGGTAGGCTTGATGTCTCTGTACATATTTCAAGAAATCTTATTTCTTATGTTCTTTATCTAAGCTGTGAAAGTGTGTAGATTAGAGATGGGCCAGGTACTTGGTTTAGATCCGGTATTCGGCGGATCCGGAACTTTTTTTAGAATCCGGTCGGATACCGGATAATGGCGTAGAGTACCCGACAGTACCGGGTAATTCTACTAAAGAAAAAAGAAAAACAAACATCAGCGATAATAATTCAATAAGTATAACAAAAAGCCTACCTAATCAAAATTGGTAATTAAGATTGTATTGGGATAGGTCGTTTGTCCTAATTTGTGTTATTTATTAATCATTATACAAAATTGTGTGTTGTTTGGATATATTGTTGTGTTGCCTGTTTTTCGTGAACAAGACTACGTCAGTTAGGCTGAACTATCACAATTTCTGACGCTTGTTGGTATATCAGGTTCTAATTAACGATAACTTATTATTCTGATATTGTCACCAAGCAGGCTTAAAAAACGGTATTTTGAATAGGACTTAATGTGGCTTGGGTCGTTGGTGAGGCTGGCGAATGATGAGGATACCATGGATAGAGAAGGATAGATATGAAGAAATATTAGAAAGAATAGGAGAACAGAGGACTCTATAGAAGTCAATAGGCGAGATAGATTGGTAGGACACCTTCTTAGGCATGAAGGTGTAGTTAGAGACATATTAGAGGCAGAAACAGGAGTTAGGAGGGGTAGAGGTAGACGTAGATTAGATTACTGTTCACAAATACGTAGTTAAGGATGTGGGATGTTCTAGTTTTAGGGAAATGCGAAGATCAGGATAGGATAGAATAGAATAGAATTACAATATTGGTGTCTGTTTAATGACTTTGAACTGGTATCATCTCTTAATAGTGGTGCTTGCACTATCAGTGTTCCTGCTAAAAACACAGAGTAAGATTATTTTTTTCTTTTTTTTTTGTGTTTGAAATTCAGTGACTGGCATGATCACGCATCTATCATGCTGCACGGTCTCCGCTTATACGGATATCATACCGTATCTGCTACAAACTAATTTAATGTTATCAAAATTTACTTACCTATAGATATGTAAATGTTTCAAGTGTTTGTACTTGTTCCTTTACTTTAAAAATAATGGAATTTTACTTAAATGAACAAAAACCCAAGATATGCATTTTCGATTTTACTTTTGAAAAAAAAATTGTGTATAGAGGTATAGTATGTTCATTAATTATAAATGCTAAAGAAAATCTAATTAATGCACCATCATAAAAAGCTACCCTAAATAATCTAAGAAAACGTTACAGTTTCGAAGCCTAAAACAGTAAAGTTCTTTTTACGTTTTTTTTAACTGTTCAATTAATTTAAGTCTCCACTATGATTCTATAAAGTGTGCTAGAATAAGGCTAATTCAAGAATAATTATCCTTCGCAATGGCTTTATTTATTCATTTAACCGATTTACCAGTTGTGATATTACGCAGTAAGTCATTTTATCACAAAAGGTCGAATATCAGGAAAAAAATACAAAACATAAACATACTCATGAATTATATACATTCATACATGCGTATTTATAAAATAGAGATGGGCCGAAACCGGTTTGGATCCGGAACTGTGTGGATCCGGCACTTTTTTAGTATCCGGCCGGGTACCTGGTAATGATACTCGACAGTGTCGAGTAATTCTACCACAGATAAAGGAAAAAACGAACACCAGCAATAATCATTGAGTAAAATTTAATAAGTAAAGCTTACCTAATAAACATTAGTAATTAAGATTGCATTGGGATAGGTCGTTTGTCCTAATTTTCATTATTTATTGATTACTTACAGGAAAATTTACCTAAATATTAAAGCGATATTCACAATTTAACCCACTAGTCCGTTGCTTCGTAAGCGAAAATAATAAAAATTACTACTTGGACCTAAATTTGTAAAAATAAAATCCCAGCAGAAATAAATTTACTAGTTATTTTAGTTGATATTACAAATTTATTTGTAATAATTAAGAAACTTGAAATAATTTTTAAGGAAACATCTCAAAATTGAGATTATTACAAGTCACCTAATAAATTTTCTACTATTTCTACGGCAAATTTAGTCATTTACAATCGAAAATTGTAATTTTTGTGTATAATCAGATTTTGATTAACAATAACTTATAATAGATTTCATTTGTTATAGCGACCATTTTACTATAGCGACATTAAAAAAAGTCCGTTGAATTTAAAACATACTTTAGTACAAAATGCACGTGACTATAACGACTTCGGATGTAAGGTCGAGCTCACATGTAGCGACTGCTTTTAATAAATATTGTACATAAAAAAAGTATGAGTGCTGTCAGCACGGGGCAAATTAGTATTACGTAACTGAAAGTTAGTATCAGCAATTTCTTATGCTGAAGTATACGATGTGTTAAATTCCTATTTACAAACAATTCCTTTAAATGTTAATAATTGATTACTATACATCTATTTAAAAATCATAATGGCCGACATCAGTGACAATGCGACAACAATTAAAAAAGAATGATGGCCGACAACTGCAACAATTAGAAAAGAATGATGGCCGACAACTGCAACAATTAGAAAAGAATGATGGCCGACACTACGTCATAGTGAAGCAATAAAAATGGCCGGGGCAGGGGAAAGAACTAGTGTTATATATAAAAAAATTATGAGTGCTGTCAGCACAGGGCAAAGTAGTATTACGTAAATGAAAGTTAGTATCAGCAATTTCTTATGCTGAGGTGTAATGTGTTGCATATCTATTTACAAACCTATAAATTTTAATCATTGATTACTATGCATCTATTAAAAAACCGTAATGGCCGACATCAGTGACAATGCGACAACAATTGAAAAAGAATGATGGCCGACAACAACAACAATCACAAAAGAATGATGGCTGACACTACGTCATAATATTGTTCACAAAAGTGAATATCGGCCACTCGAAGCAGTGGTACTAACAGTTTCGAGCTCACAGTGACTGTTAGGGGGAAGAACTAGTTTTCTTAAAATATATATGGTGATGACACAATTCTCACCACTGGTCTCAATTCGTAGTCAATTTTAGTGATTCTTTTTTTTTTTTCGATTTCTTAACTGTCTGGCTATTATTTATAGTATAGTAGTTTTGGATTTGTTGCCTTACTAATTTGTATGCTACTATTTTTACTTTATAAGATCAATGTGGTAATCAGATTTACTTACAATTAGTATTTCCTTTACTGCACCCTATTGTATTATCATGAGCATTTCTGTTTTGAGTATTATAATTTTTGAGTCTTTATTTACGTAAAACGTTTGTTTTTGTGAATTGACGACATTGAGTCTATGCTTTCGAATTCTTTTGGCCCGTACGTTATTGGCATTGACACAAGAGAAAACTATTTTTAAAGGTGAAATCAGAATTCCTAGCTTTTTTCGTCTGATTTTCTGATCAAAGCTCATGTTTATGTTATTAATAATAAATAGTAATTTCCGTATTTTCATATGGTTTTCACTCGTGGAGATTAGAATATTTATTATTTAATGTTTTCATGTGATTTAGTTTTTTTTTAAACCTCAAACAAGTAATTTTGGCATACATTATGTACATAATTCTAATTCTGGTACTCCCGGAAACTAGCAAAAATTGTTGAGGAATTTGATGGAGGATTTGGAAAATTCATTTTTTATTTTTACGTAAATTGAAACATTATTTACCAGTATCTAAAAAATTTATGTTGAACACTTCCAAGGCGCGTAATATGTACTTATGTATATCATACGATGGAGGCTAAATTGTAGGCCCGTATAATAGTAAAGAACTCACTAGAGATTTAAAAATTGGAATAGTTGAGTATAATAAGTTTGTTAATTCCGTGATAGGCCGATTTATAAAGCCCAACAAACTATTATTAAACGCATTTAGGTATTAGTATGTAAATGCAAACTTAACTCCAATTTCCTTTCAAAAATATTTAGCTGTGAATTTAACAGATTAAAGGAAATTTGTTTTTTGAAGCTAAGCTGTACTGGTTGGATTTAAATTTAAAAAAAATATTTTAAAATTAAAACTTTGTAGCAACGTTGTGTCCTAGCACAATAAGCGTATATGGGCTCGGTGAATCCCGGAAGGTTGGCAGATCTGACTGCTATCCTGTAAAATAAGTAAGCACTAAATTTCAGTATTCATCAACAGATGGCAAACCATGTTTTGATTATCTAACAACCCTAATGTATTATTCATGAAATACTTTGTTAGCAGCAAAACCCCACTAAATGGAGATATACTGCCTATTTATTTTTATTATTGCCATCAAGGATCACTATAATCCGGAATCAAAACGTCAAAATTTTTGATTTGTAGTTTACATTATCTATGATTAATAATGACATTCAAATACCATAAATATGAAATGGTACAACATAACCTACAATAATTAACAATCTCTAACAATGAAACCGTTAACTTTTCCATTTTAAAATACACTTCATAGCTTGACCTAATTTAATGTGTTAAGTCAAGTGTTAAGTGTTCATTTCTTTGGTGAGTGGTATGCTTAAAGTTTCCTTATTGTATAATTTGGGAATATGAATGTAAATAAGCTATTTTTGTTTTAGGTAAAATGTACTTTGCTCAGCGTTTAGGACTATTTCATAAATTTAGGAACTTCTACAAATTACAAAACGTAGTAAGAATTTCTAATGAAAGTAAAAAAACACGTAAATTACATTTTATAACTGGATTTGGTCTTGCTTCAGCAACTACTGTGTCTCTTCTTGATGAGAATATAACTGATACTGTGATATCCCAATATGCAGGTGTTAGGAGATTTGTAAGGTAGTATATTGTTATAAAAATTAAAAAAATATATTACAATTACACTACTTTAAAGTGGTTTTAATAATATATGGCTTTTTCAGATCATTACAAATTGGGTTACTTATTTCTTTGGATTACTACTTCTCTAAGATAGGTATAGAAAATGAGTCAGATAATGGTATCATTTTAACCAGTCTTTTACATCAAAGAGCTGCTAACAGAATTTTAATGGGATGCTTAGAGAATGGTGGTACCTACATTAAGATTGGGCAAGCCCTTGTTTGCATGAATCATATTCTACCAGATGAATATATAAAAACATTAAAAGTTCTACAAGATAAATGTTTGATGAGACATTCAGATGAATTAAACAAGTTATTTATGCAAGACTTTGGGAGAAAGCCAGAGGAAATTTTTGAAACTTTTGATCCAAATCCAATAGCTGCAGCAAGTTTAGCCCAGGTAAATGTAACTTTGCAATTTATTGCAATTACAAGTTTTGCTACTAATGCAACATATGAATAATAGTAGAAATACATTAATTCATCCTCGATTTTCGACCATGTGAAACTATTTCTAATTGTTTATGTTTTTATGATAAATATAATTTTTTAACCAATAATTAGAAATAATAGGTAACAAGTACCAAACAGACACTTAAACCTTAAACATAAGTTGTAGAGAAAATATATGCAATTCGATTAACACCAGCGTATGTAAGGTTGCATATGTGATATTCCTGCTACTTAAAAAAGATAATAATAAAATGTATCTTAAATCACTATTAATAACTTGCAAAGGCCTTAGACACACAGACAAAAGTTTTTCAAAGCTATTTTGTATTTTAATAACCTACAAATAACCATATGAGATTGCAAAAGGTTGCTTGCTGACTTAAAACAATTGTTTATAATTATTTGTTGAATAAATTGGTTGGTGTCCTGTCGGAACTCTTTTTGGCGTGTTGATTGGAATCAAAGAGTTTAAAATCGCGATCTATATCTAATGGTTCGAACAAATCACTAATCGAGAATTTGTAACTGTTGTAATGAATATATTTGCTGTAATATTTATTTTATATATATTGCAATGATTTTAATTGATTTTATTTTATGTAGGTGTATAAGGCAACTACTAAAGATGGAAATAATGTAGCTGTTAAGGTACAATACATTGATCTTCAAAAACGTTTTGTCAGTGATGTTGCTACAATTGAATTGCTTCTCAAAATAATCGGATTTATGCACAAAGATTTTAATTTCAGTTGGGTTTTGGATGATATTAAAGACTCCCTGAAGCAGGAATTGGATTTTAGAACAGAAGGAAAAAATGCAGAGCAATGTGCTAAAGACATAAAACATTTAAAATATGCTTATGTGCCAAAGGTCTTTTGGGAATTGAGCAGTTCAGTTAGTACCCTTTTTGTTTTTCACTCGTTATTATCCACGTAATCGTTTCGTTTCATGTATTTTAATAGAGAGTTCTTGTAACAGAGTATATTGATGGATATAAGGCAAATGAAACAAAAAGGCTTATAAAGGACGGCTTCTCCCTTGCGGACATTGATAAAAAGATTTTTGAAATTTTTGGGACGCAGATATTTCATACTGGTTTTGTACATGCCGACCCTCACCCAGGAAATCGTAAATATGCAAATATCTCTTCGATTTACTAAAATTTACTTATTAATGATTTAGTTCTGGTACGGAAGATCAATAGAAAAACGCAGATTGTTTTACTTGATCACGGTCTGTATCAACAAGTGTCTGATTTTGAAAGGACAACATTGAGCAAGATTTGGAAAGCAGTTGTAACAAATAACAATAATGACTTAAAAAAGTATTGCCTTGAATTAGGCATAAAGGGTAAGACAATTTCATAAATTTTAATTAATTAACTATTATAAAATTTTTTTATAGAGTTTGAAATGTTTGCGGAAATTTTGACGCAGTCTCCTTACAGACATACAGGATTAGAGCTGAAAAAGACGTATTCAGAAGAAGATATTAGACTTATGAAAGAATTTGCTCAAAATAGATTCGACAGGATCATGGATGTATTACGACAAATGCCAACTAATCTACTATTAGTATTGAGGTAGATGCACAAACGGTTACTATTTTTAATACGGACTTCATTGATTTCTCACAAAAACGTGAAGGTTGATAACAGCATTACATATCATACACAATTTTCAGGAGCCCTTACATCTTTGTTATTAGTAGAAATTAACAGTGATAAAGAATTTTAGTGTTTTTTTTTCAAAATATATATAAAAGAAATTATGAGAGCTGTCTGTGCTGAAAGTAGTATTACGTAGTTAGCATTAGTAATTTGTGAGGTGTACGATGTGTTGCATACCTATTTACAAAAATTTCCTTTAAATTTAAATCATTGATTACTATACATCTATTAAAAAACCATAATGGCCGACATCAGTGACAATGCGACAACAATTGAAAAAGAATGATGGCCGACAACAGCAACAATTAGAAAAGAATGATGGCCGACACTACGTCATAAAAATGGCCGGGGGCAGGCGGAAGATCTAGTTCAAATGATATTATAAATATATTCAAAATTGTGCCGTACTGTTCGCGATTACCAAATCGAACGGCTAATATATCCTACTGAGTTAAAAACCTAGTTGATATAATTGGCTTTTGTGTAATTTCCCAAACCGTGAGAAATCCTCGAGTCATCCTCATTACATTTTTAGTTTGCCCTTACCCTTAATAATTAAAATTATCATATTCATGCCGTACTTTTAAACATCTACTTTATTAAAATGTCAATCATAATTCCAGAATAATGTATCTTAATTTTCTATTTACAGGAATTTAAATACAATTAGGGCAATTGCTAGAGAGCATGGTGATCCATTAGATAGGTATGAAGAATTGGCAAGGATTGCAACCAGAAATGTTTTTATATCAGAAAAATCCTTTGGAAATCTAGTCTTTATGATTAAAGATAAAATTCTTTTTGAAATTAGACTAATGTAAGTAATTGAATAACTATTTTTCAAATTTAAAATTCGCTTTATTTCAGAATTCACAAAATATATGAATTATTCTTAAAAAGACTTCTAAAAAAGGTAACGAGTGCGTCTGAATTTCATAACATAATAACAAAAATGAAGGAAAGCGAAAATTCTTTAGTTTAGCATTTTTAATATTAACGAAATAAAACATCACAAAACCATAATACTATATAATTATTATTGTAGCTATTGTTACTGTTAATTTTAATAAAGATTAATATTTTCTGTTATTTAAAACTGAAAATTATTATCGACGTTTAATTAGTAAAGCTATAGTAATGTTTTTTTGAAATTTAACAATGTATTTTGCTTATTACTTGTGTTCCCCCAGTTTCTCAAAATTTTAAGAAGAAAATAAGAAAATGGACTGCTTTAGTAATCAATCAAAGCAATACCTGGTGGTTTAAAGGAAAAATTAAACGCGCATTCTTTACACATAAAAATTTATTTTATGTTACGCGTATTTAAAAAATAACGTAAGATAAAAAAAATTGCTTCTTCGTGGCGAGTTGAAAGACTGCAGATTAATATTCACCCACAAGTACAATACTTTAAAAGTGAAAACAAACTAAGCAGTTTTCGCACGAATTGCAGCACGTTTTGATGTAACGGCCTACAAAAAAAGGATTAGTAAGATTATTAAAGTAAAAATACAATAGAAACATACCTGAAACCCAGATTTTATACTAGCGACAGAACACCTTGAACCACACGTTTCACATTGTAAAAAGAACAACCTTGTATCTTTCTGTAATATTGTATCTGGTGAACGACAAGTGTGACATGTTACATATTCTTTAATATATCTGGAATATAGAGAAACAATATTCTATGATCATAAAAAAAGAGCCCAAGAAACATGAACTAGCTCACCTCCTTAAAACATTTTCTATTTGCTTCTGCTGGAATCTACCTTTAATAATTAACTGACTATTACCATCTACAGAGCCACTAGTACCTAGTTCAGCAAGTAAAAAGTCCAATAAATGTTTTGGTTGTCGATGAAGCATTTTACAAATTTCCGTAAAGTTAGCAAACGATGTTTTCTTGGTTCCAATTCGCACCACTTGGGGAGGTCTCATAACAAATTTCTGTTTCTTACCGGCCACCATGTCCGGATTTTTGTCCCTCATAATTTCAAAAACACGCGTTAATAATTCATCATATGTGTAATCTCTGTCTGAACCCTGCCATGTGACTGAATTATCTTCAACTAAAATGAAGAAAGAAAAATTTCAAGTTCAGCTACATAGCCTCCACAATGTCGATTAACGATTATGATGACATTACAGGTCTTGCTGAACATAACTTCACATTAGGAGTACTTCCAAGAGTATTAGGGATCTATAGTTGGGTTGTTATTTATTTATATATGCTACATTATAATACAGTAGTATTTACTACAAAGGTATAATTACTACTTGTATGTAGGAACTAGCATCTTTATCAACTAAAAGGACAAAACTAAAAACTCAAACACAATCTTTTACTTCTAATCCTGTTCTTCAATTTCTTTTTAACGGCATATTTAGTTATAGGATTTTTTGGCACTCCAAAATGTTTTTAACTCTTGTGAAATAAGATGAAAACTTATGTACATTTTATTGCTACAAAAATATATTCATCTAATTCTTACCAACTTCAGGGACTCTCTCCTCCAACATGCAGCATATGTCCAAATAATTAAAGAAACATTTAATTTCATTTGTTGCAATAAGTAGTAAATATACACAATAAAAGTAATTTCAAAAGTTGCATTTTCTCCATATTTTCAGTAAAGTATGTACAATTTATTTGCAGTAAAAGTATTCTTTTTGTGTATGAATGTTATAATTGTATTATATCTTTAATAGTAGTTCTATTTACTAAAGTTAATACTTACCATTTTCCTTATCCTCCTGTTTTTCCTCTGCTTCCCCAATTAATTCATCAAGATCTTTCTTCTTCTTCTTTTTCTTTTTAGTTTTGCTAAAGTCCAATTCAATATCTAAATTATCATCCAGGACAGTGTCATCTTGGTTTTGATTGGTTTCATTTGTTGTATCTTCCTTAACATCTGGTAATGCACCATCCAGTTCTTCTAAATTAAAAGGCTTCTTCTTTTTCTTTTTCTTCTTACTAAAATCTAAATCTATTTCTATATTGGCATCATCTTGGTCATCGTCTTTATTTTCAACTTCTGTATTAATGCCTTGGTTAGAATTATCATTTTCTCCAGTGCTTTCTGCCAAGACTGAATCAATATCAAATGCTGTCTTCTTCTTTTTCTTTTTCTTCTTAAGGGTAGGATCAAAAATCTGAAGTTTAAATCATCTCATAAATAATATAGAAGCCAGTAAAAGAAGCAATGCTAAAATATGTTGTCAACGTTTCTAAGAATCTTCTATCTAAACGGGGTTGATAATAACAATACTATCATTAACAACTATAATAATAATAAGCCACGCATTTTCTAAAGATACTGGGATTATTAAAAATAACTCCTTTTGGGTATTAATAACTATACGCACGTATATAGACTAAAAACTACTTACGGCTTCATCTTCCGCCATTCTTAAGTGCTCTCTTTATTTAATTCTCTTTAAATCCAATAAATTAACGTTCAGATAGCTATAATTACATGTAAATACACAATTATAAACGTTTAAAAGGTCTTCCACCTTATTGCATCAGCCACCCATGCCCATGCGTTTTTATTTCTTGACATGTTCTTGACGGTTCGAATCTACCATAGATTAGGAATCTACTGTCAAGAATTAATCAAAATATATAATACAGATATAATTAAATCACTTTTAGGATATTTGTTTAAATTGTAATTTAAGAATCTTCAAAAGTATTTAGAACAAAATAGTTTATCCACAAATATTGCTAAAAATATACCGTTCTCTAACCAGAACATAATTTCCGTAATGGTGTACCGTAGACACATCGTAATCTTCTGTCGCCATCTAGTGTAATTACACAAAGTTAAATCCCATAGACAAGAGCAAATGCAAAGCATGTGTCCATGTGTCAGTACCGTCTACCATAAGTATGTTTTGTATCAATTGTATATTTACAAGAAATAAGGATCATAGAAAAACATTAGTTTATTGATAGTGTACAGCTGTACAAACTACTTGTTATTAAGGTCTAATGGTGTTTAGTGTATTAAGTTTTCCTAAATTATTTATTATTTTCCAATTAGTGTCATGAAATACGTTAAAAATGGTGTGATAAAATCAAGATTTAATTCCTTTTACCTGGAAGAGAAAAATGAATTTAAAGTAAGGCGTCTAATTCCAAATTTATTTACTCAGGAAAAGGTTAGTAAGTAAACAATTTTTTCTAATATTATTAATAAATTAAGTATTTCTTCATTTGTTATTTATAATTTCTTATTATTTAAAATCTATTCACTTATCTGCTAAGTTTCTTTTTTTCTAATTAAAATTATGTTTATGTATATACATTAATGTTTTCATGTAGGTATGCCCTATTAATAATGCATGTTTTAATGTTAATTTAAATGTATGTACCTATTATATGAAAATATTCGATACTTTCTAATCAATTATATTTAATTAGCTTACTTAAAAGAGCTGTTTAAAGAAAATCATGCATAAGCAATTATGATAAGTGAAATCATCACATCTATGTAAGGCACCTCAAAATTTCATGTTTTGTATGATCATAATTAATAAGTTCATTTGGTCTTGTAAAGGTACTACATTAATTAAAAGAAAAAAAAATGTAAACTGTAAATCTTCAATGAACTGTTTATAAATTATTTTTAGTTTTCAGTAGCAAATGGCTCTTTTCATTTTTTTGAAAGGGTCAAGTGACTAGAAATAAAACTGATTACTTTTCAACAGTGGCGGATTTGTGAATGTTGAATCCCCAATTATGCAAAATAACTGCAAAATAAAATAATAATATGTATTGTTTATATTTACATTAAAAAAATTAATTTAATATAGCAGGGTTATTACCCTATTGTACATTCCCAATTGTCAGTTATGTTGTACCTACAATCAACTTTGCAGCCTGTTGCTTGCTGTTTCTTACAGCAATCGTTTCTTGCACATTTCAGGCTGCAACATATTTAAAAAAAACCTTTCTATTCAACGGGGTGGAGGGCTAACCCTCTAAATCCTTTTGTGACTACACCACTGCTTGTCTAAATACATAAACAGCAAGTCACTTTTAAGAAACCGTTTCCTTTTTTTTTGTAAATAAGTTTCTATTTTTAGTTTTCAATTTTTACGATGCTTTGTTAAAACCGGTGAAAGAAAGTACAATATGCATTGAAACAGACTAATTATCTATTATTTGATTTAGCAGTATATATTTTTTACAGAACATCTTATACGAAAATGTTCTAAGAAATTTTTTAAATTAAATTTATTTCTCTGCATTTAAGTCGCAAATAAATAGGGAGTAGGTATCGCTATCGGTGAAGTACATTTTTTTTTTAATTTTGCAATACCTATAAGTAATATAATCACATATTGTCCAGTAGTAATTGTAAACCCTGCTAATATTCCATTTCTATTAACGTAGGCTGCTTATAGAAATATGAAACTTTTTGAAATTTAATTTTCAGACTGTATCAGCAAAAGAGAAAACAATAAATTAATACGCTGTTGTTAATGTTGTAATTTATAACACTTCTGCAATTTATTACCATAGGATAATCAATTTTTCAATCAAATCGGAATTTATTGACGTTTCAAACAGATTATTAAATATTAGTTACTGCCAAAATACAGAGACTAAGAAGATCTTAATTTTTAAAATTCAATGTTCTACATAAGTTGATTTTATTTTACTCTGAATGAAATTGCGTTGTACATATCCATTTGGGTAACACCCAAATATTCACAGTCAAAAGTATTTTTGCAGTAGGAAACGCAAAAAAAAGAGGACAATTATTTTGTAGATGAGTAGGATACCGTCAATTTTCTTGTTTCCGGTCAGTAGACCCAAAGCTGCAACAAATAATATTCGTAAAAGTTTCGGGTTGAATTATTTTAATTATTTTATTTAATTAAACTTTTAAAAAATTGAACGAAAAAAAATGTTTTCATTTGTTTTCCTATGTATGATTTCTTGTTTAGTTGCGATGCAAAACCACTTTTTGAGTTTAGATTGTATACAAAAAAATGTATTTTTTTTCATATTAAACACTGTAATTAATTCAGATATTTAAATTCTGTAGTTCTAATGAAAGATTCGCAAAATATTTTAACTTTTTTCATTCCTTTCCTTTCATTCCCGCGTTTTGGATTAAAATAAAAAAGGATTTTCTTCTATTTGAATTCTCAAATCAATTATTTTAATATTTAACTTTGTATGAATGGTTTGAGAATAAAACAATAATGCTGAGTAACCCTGGAAATAACATTAATTCCGCAAACCGTTTAATAGTAAAATATAGAGGAAATTAATTGTTTTTTACTAAAGAATACAAAACAAAGTTAATTAAGTAGACAATATAACTGTGATAAAGTAAATAGTGACTTTATTTGAAGGATCCACATGTTTAAAGTATATTGTATGACCCCCTATCATTTCCATATAAGACTTAAAAAAATTACAGTTTTTTTGTAGCAAATAGCTTATGATATACTGATTATGATTGAAACATGTATACAATTAATATATAATTATTGTTAATTGCGTATATTTTGGAATGTTTAAGCGCTTGCTATAAAGCAAAAAAATTTATTAAAAAANGATTTCTTCATAATTAAGATCTAAGATTCTAAAACCAGAAATGAACCAATAGACTTATTATAGAATACTAATTAAAAAAAAAGAATTTGTTATATATTTTTTTGCAGAATAATCTAAGAAAAATTTTAAATTTTATTATCAATCACTTCCCATCAATTTTATTTCTCGTTAATGTTACATGCGGTGCAGTATGTTAAATATTATAGATATGCGTTTTTGTATTATTATGCTACAGTTGAATTTTACATATACGCTCAGAATTTCTTTTCCATTCCGAAAAAGTCAATCACTAGTTATCTATTTGTAAACATTGATTTCCAACAGTGTAATTGTTCACTCTAGCAGATGTAGCGAATGAACATAACATATACCTTAACGATTTATTTTTATCGGTCATAACTAAAAGTCGATATCTGTTTGATTCAGAAATCTCATGTTCGGCCTATTTAACGGAGTGTTCTCCTCATCATCCGTTTCGGGTTATATCCCCGAAATGGAGCAAATTATTAGCCAGCTTGAGCGGGGTACCATAGTCACTAAGTTCTCATGGAGGAAGAAACCTGAAAGGAAAACTTTGGCCATCCGCAGAGAAACGAAACAAATTGTCTGGAACAGGCCTGTTCCAGGGCCAAAATGCACGTTCGATGGTGCGGTCGATTTGAGAGAGGTGAAAGAAATTAGACTTGGGAAAAACTCAAAGGATTTTGAAAAATGGCCTGAGGACTCTAACAGAATCGATGCTGTTATATGTTTCGTTATTTTTTATGGATCAGAATTTAAACTGAGAGTTCTCAGTATCGTAGGTAAGCGTTAGTTTCATTTGATTTGAAACTAAGTTCTTCTATTGCTCGTACTTCCCCGCACGTATTCCACATGATTTTTTTAAATATTGTTAGTTTTATTGTTGCAAAAAGGGTCATAAATAAGGTATTGAAATTCAAATGAATAGAATTAAAAATTATAATATTCTAACACTAATTTTCATACGGTTTATTATATTCTTTTCATAGATTTTCAAGAATAATTATTATATTTTCTTACAAAAATGCATTTTTTTTACACATTTTTTTACCAGAACTCTTCAGGAACTTGTCATTTATTAACTTAAAGGTAGAATGGAGCTCTTGTGTTTAATTTTCATTTTATCTTCCTACTTTGTTGGAAAATTAATATATTTGTATATACCTAATATTAACATAAAACTATTTTATGTGTAGCTCTATCAAAAAGCGAGTGTGAACTATGGATAAGAGGACTTAGATACTTAGTTAAGGACACCATAAATGCGCCATATCCCCTTCAAGTTCAAACATGGCTAAGAAGGGAATTCTACGCGATGGAAACGCCTAGGGAAACGTAATGTTTGTTTTTAAAATATCTTGATTGAATTACTGTTAAATTTTATTATAGAGTTTCTCTAAAGGAAGTAAAAGCCTTTTTACCTCGATTAAATTGTAAAATACCCACTAACAAGCTAAGAGAGATTTTTAATGAAGTTGATACAAGGAAACGAATGGAAATAGGATTTGATGATTTCACGTTGCTGTATCACAAATTAATCTTCGACGAACATGTAATTATCTTTTTTTTATTCCAAATTTTCTTTTTTAGTAGAAATAAACTATCTTTATTTTTCAAGATGAACATTTGAATAGGTAAAGCGAATCAATCTTTAAAAATTTTAGTTTTGATAAAAGTTATTTTACATCTGTTTTCATCTTTTAAAACAAAGCTTCTCTTTTCTAAGTATATGTTGAGGACTGCCTAAAATATTTAATGCAAGAATTAATAATTCGTTTTTGTAAAATCTGTTATGTTTTTGTATTTATTATTTGTTGTACGTATGTATTGTTTTCAGAATGTCCATGATATTTTCGACAAGGTGATGCTTTATTCTGAAAATTATCAGACAGTAACATTAAAAGAATTTCAAAACTTTTTGCTTAAAGAGCAAAGAGATGATTTAGGAAAAGATCAAAATAAAGTCTCTCAGTTTATCTGTGATTTTCTCAAGGTAACGTGGTAATTTCTTCATGTGAATTTTTATTTTTAAAACAGCATTTTTTTAATTGCTTATAGGATCCACAACGTGATGTTCAAACTCCATGTTTCACCCTTTCAGAATTCTTAGATTTTCTGTTTTCCAAGCAAAATGATCTCTGGGATCCCCAAAAAGATGTAGTGTATCAAGACATGACAAAACCTCTTGCTCACTATTGGATCGCCTCTTCACACAACACGTTAGTTAAAACACTAATTTATTTACTAAGATTATAGATTAAAATTCACTACGGGATTTAATTATATTTTTCAAGTCCTTATAAGTGGATAGAAACGAACTTATATTTTCTCCTGTTTTCAAAATAACTCAGGAACTTAATTTTTTAATATGTGTATTACAATTTTTTCAAGTAAAGACAAAGTCGTACGTTTTTAGTTAGTGATTGTAGTTGACATAATTCCAAATAACTATCTTATTTTATGTCAGAGAATTGACTAAAATAAGCTTATGAAAGTATCTTTTGCTTTTCATATAGTTCCATATTTTCTTATAACAAATTAACATTACAGGTACTTAACAGGTGATCAGTTTTCAAGTGAGTCGTCTGTAGAAGCATACGTAAGATGTTTAAGGATGGGTTGCCGTTGTATAGAGTTGGACTGTTGGGATGGTCCTGATGGAATGCCCTTCATTTATCACGGGCACACGCTTACAACCAAAATTAAATTTCTTGATGTTATTCGTACTATTAAAGATCATGCTTTTGCCACTTCTGAATACCCTGTAATATTATCGATTGAAGACAATTGTTCTTTACCTCAACAAAGAAAAATGGCCACAGCTATGCAGGTAATTATTTAACTATGCAACTCAAAAATTATTTTTTGATATCAACAGCATGCATCTTGTTTTAGGAAGTTTTTGGTGATATGTTGGTTACTCAATCAATTGAAAAAAATGAGAAACAGTTGCCATCACCTTACCAACTTCGAAGGAAAATTATATTGAAACATAAAAAGCTTCCTGAGGGACAAGAAGAAAATCCTATTGTAATAAAAAACGATGGCAACGACATGGATCTGCGTAATTCTATAAAAAACGGCATAATGTACATAGAAGACCCCATTGATAAAGAATGGAACCCTCACTTCTTCGTTTTGACACAAAACAAATTATTTTATACCGATAGTTATAAATTGGATATGGTATGTTTCAAATTTTTCTAGGTCTTCTTCTGCCCCTATTTACCGTTGATTCTGTTGGTAATATATTATCAAAACTAGCCTTTCATGTCTCAGAAAGTGTCCTAGTATTCTATCTCTCCTTTTCCTTATTAGCTTCCATGTGAACATATTGGGTTAGTTTATTCTAGATATTTTTGAATTCAATTTGAGCTATCCAAGTTACATAAGGGGGTCTAAAAGAATATAGCATTTGCTATTCATCAATTTTATTTTAATATTTTTTTTAACTTGGCAGTTCTTAAATTTTAGTCATTCTCATTGTTATTGTTAATCACAAAAAGTCGTTTATGGGGGGATGTATTAGCTTTGTGACTTAATATTTGTTAAGGAAGTATGACTTACCATGATGAAGGGGGAGGGAGGGGTCCAAAAAGATGAAATTCTGAGTGACGTATTTTATGGGCGACCCCTTATAAAAATACTTAAATTGATATTTTTTTCAGGACTCGGAAAAGTCAGAAGACGAAGATGAAAATACGAGTTTATCACATCCCAAGAACGACGTACCCAACGAAGAGCTCCACTTTGCAGAAAAATGGTTCCACGGACGTCTCCCGAAAGGTAGAGAAGAGGCGGAGCATCTTCTCAAAACGTATTCTCACCTAGGGGATGGCACTTTCTTAGTAAGAGCAAGCGTAACGTTTGTGGGCGAGTACTGTTTGTCGTTTTGGCGAAATGGCTCTGTTAATCATTGCCGCATAAAATCGAAGCAAGACAAACAACAAACTAAGTATTATTTGACTGACATGAAGTACTTCGACAGTCTCTACAGTTTGATTACACATTTTCGAAGTCATCCTTTAGTGACAGCTGAATTTTCTATAACACTTCAAGAACCCGTTCCTCAACCCAACAAGCACGAGGGAAAAGAATGGTACCACAAACAAACGACCAGAGCCCAAGCTGAAGACGTGTTAAAACGGATACGAACCGAAGGGGCGTTCCTGGTAAGGCCTAGCGAAAATGATGCAAATTCTTATACAATAACATTCAGGTAAGATATAAGTGCATTTGCCTATAACTATATCATAAAGAGAAAGGAATAGAAGAATTTGTAACGATATGAATATATGATAAAATAGGTAAAAGTTAGACAATTAAATAATGGGGGATAATCCTACGTCATATAAATAAGGGAATTACCGTCTATTATTATTTAATTGTTTTCTTTTCGCCCTTTCAGAGCTGATCGAAAGATCAAACACTGTAGAATTAAAGTGGAAGGTAGACTCTATACCATTGGCAGCGTAGAGTTTGAGAGTTTAGTAGAGTTAATCAGCTACTACGAACACCGTCCCCTTTATCATAAAGTCAAATTGTGCTATCCTGTCAGTGAAGACGCTGTTAGAAGAATAAGAATGGTAAGTTTCAATATTTCTATTTTGCAATCACACTTGCTTTTTATAGTAACATTACCTTATAATGTAGGAAATGAAAATTTTATTTTAAGGATATTTTTATTGTTAAAAAAAGTGGGTACTGTACAAAATTTTAATATCTATATGTATATAAAGGCAAACCATAAAATCATTGCACTACCGACCCAACGTATTTTACGCCTTCAGCAAACAGAAAAATAAATTTACTTAAAAATTATTTTTATAAAGATAGTACATTTTTGATTAGTAGCATTGTCATTGTATCATATATACTGAATATTCAATGTTTGATACACCTACAAAAATACATACTAACGTAAAATATATTTATATTTACCTAAATAAAATAAAATATAAGCAGTAACAACTATAATTAAACGTGCGAAGTCTATAATGTACATATAATAAATTGTATTGAACATATTGGAAAACATTTTAAGACTTTGTACTAATATTTGGCAACGGCTAAAACAGTAATAGTTTTGTAATATTATCCAAGATAAAAAAAAAAAACGTTAAAGTTTATTAAACAAAAAAAGAATTCTTCCAACGGATATTACATGGATTTTAATTTATTATAATTTGTAGTTGGAAAGTTATCATTTTTGTTGTTTGTTTATCTCATCGACGGATAACTCGACATTTGCTAGACTATCCGGAATTGTTAATGTTTTTATAGCATGGAATCTTGGCACGTACGGTACACGTAGATTAATTTCAGAGGGTTGCATTGGCTTTGCAAGGTATGCATAGGGATCAAATTGATTCGGGTACCGTGTAGGCACTTCGTCTTTGCAACCTCTAAACGGTACTATAAATTTAAGTTGTTGATTATAATTTGAAGGTGTCGATGGTTTACTGTTAGTTGCAACGCCAGAGTCGTACTTAATTTCGTATTCTGGTAATATATCCGATTTCTTTTCGTTCTTGGGCAGATCTCTTATTTTCGATTGTGATTTTTTGTTGGAAGGATTGTTATTGCTTGTGGTATCGAAAGATTGCTTTAAGCTCTGAGATGCTTGAGCCTAAAAAAAATGAAGATAAACATGGTAGTAAAATATACTGTAAATGGTTCATAAAAGTGACTTTAATCTTTTTTTTTTTTTTTTAATTTTCTGATATACTTTACCGATTGTAAAGGAAGTGCACCAAAAAAATACATTATACATTCAGTAGCATTGGTAGATACCGTAATAGAAAAGTTGTGATAATAATGTGAGAAAAAAACATAATAATAGAAGTTTTACATATTTATTGGATATTTTTAAGAATTGTTTTGTGTGAAGATAGCCGAATTGGTCGAAACATTTGTAGAGATACCTATATAGGTATTTAATAATAAAAATGTAAAAATATTATTCCGATCGGGACGCGTACTTTGTGACATTAATTTTTTTCATTTAATCGGATTGAAATTAAAATGTTTCATTGCTAGCAACAATTCGTACGAGGAGGATTCGATATTCGGGTTTAATAATTGCAGTCCGAGGTGTTCTTTCTCTTTCGATGAGCCTGATGTTTCGCCAGACGCTTGATAGGCATTTTTAGGGAATCGCAGCGCAGGATTTTATACCCTCGCCACGTTCTCTGAGAATGCCAACCACAGCAGTTGGCGAAACGTTGGATAAAACAAGTGGGTACCTAAATACTACAATTCGTCTTATCGAAATAAGAACCTGAAGTATATCTCATACTTTTTTTAATAGTTCAACTTTCTCTTACATCATCTCGTAATAAATATGTTAATAGAAAGTGGGTCTTACCTGATAATCTTGTGAGAAGCCGTTATTATTATTAACGGAATTTATTTGTTGGTAAATGTTACTTGATGTCTGGGAAGCAGATTGGGGTTTTCTTGGCCAGTAATAGACCGCTGATCCATCTTTCAAAATCACTTTTTGTAAAATAGTGGGCACCAATTGTATTGGTTTTAATTGATTTTGTAGAGTATTGTATGTAGGTTGCTGTTGACCGAAAGTTTGAACTTGTTCTTGTGCATCTTGACTAATCGTGGTACTATGATATTTATTGTTATTATTATTTGAGTTTTCTTTCTGAATTTTATTGCCGTAATACTGGCCAATCAATTGCTGCAGAAAACTACCTTGGGGATCTGCGGAATTCATATTTTGAAAAAAGTGATTTTGTGCTTCAACGGAATTTATGTTCTGAAGAAAATTGTTTTGGGCATCAGCTGCATTCATATTTTGAAGAAAATGATTTTGGATGTCTGCGTGATTCATATTTTGGGGATACTTGATTTGAGCTTTACCGTTGTTCATATTAACACCATACTGTAAACTAGCTATATAATTTGCTATGTTATTCTGACTTAATGTATCTGGGTTTATGTTTTCCGCATTCTCGAAATTTTGAGTGGTTTGTTCTTTAGCTTCTTTGCATTTTTTCAATATTTCTTCAATAGATAATCCTTCAATCTTCATTTTGTCATTTTCTTTGCCTCGTTTAAAAATGTGTTCTGCTTCGTTTTCTTTTTCCGGCGAAAATGATTGAACGGTTGTTGCACTGGGGATCGTAATTGTGGTTGTAGCAACTGTTGTCCTTGCTGACAATATTTGTTTAATAAGATCTGTTTGATCGTCTGCAGTTTTATCAGTTTTTGAACTTTTTGATGCTTCTGTTGGCTGAATCGCAATAGCCTGCTCTGTCACATTTAACGCCAAAACCACATTTACTAAATATGATGTGAATAATATCTGCAATTATGGGTGTTAAATATTACACAGTGTAATAATTATTATAATAATTAAGCGCATTTTTTTTCTTTTTTAGTCTGTCCTATTAATTATTTATATAAGTATGGAAAAGTATAAAAAATAAGTTTTAAAATTTAATGGCTTGGTTTGAATATTAATTGTTTTCTAAATTAATAAGTAATTTCATAAAAGAAGTAACTGTTTCGTTGAAAATAAGTTTATATCTTATGTATGTATTTTTTAAATAATTTGATTTATCACAATTAAAATGCATTACGTATATATTTATTACTGCATTTTGTTAGAAGTACAACTTATTTCAGACCATTTTCAAAAAAATACTCAATTTATTGATACTACAAATTTCGCTCTTTTTTCAACTATTTGTAAAGGTATTTTAAAGTGTTTTTGATAATTACCCAAACCAGATCAGTAAATGTTTCACTTTTTTACGATATTAAAGTGTAATTTACCAAAGAAATTATTTTATAAAAGTTTCATAAAAAATAATAAGTATTCTTTGTAGTTTCATGTATTTTTACTCAAAATTGTAAACTTGTATTTTGAAAAATTTTATTAAAAATAATCATTTTATTTTACGTACTTACATATACGTGTAAATGTCATTACTATTTAAATCAACATTTTTTTTTTATTTAATCATGGAATTTTCAACTCACTTATTAATTTTTGTTTTTCAGTTTTTAAATTGTATGATTTTTAAAAAGTTAAAAATATCTATTACAAGAAACAGAATTTAAAATAAAGATGAATTTCCTTTTTTCATTGAATTTCAAAATTTCCATATGATTAGGTATATAAATATTGTTACACAAATTCATAATCGAGGAAACGTTGCTAATATCTTACCAGAATTAAATCGAACCTGTACTTCATTTTTCGTTCCGACTGATCAATTTTATTGAAAGGATCACCTGTAAGAGTACCTAAGCGCGTCACTTGTTACCGGTCCCTTTAAAAACGTTCGACTGAAACTTGTTTCAAAGTGGCATTCCCACAGCGGATTTAAAAATCAGTGTCTGTGACTCCCTTTATAGTTTTTTCACCCTAAACTGGTATGTGAATTCCCTCGTCCCCTCGTTCTACGACGTTCCGTTCTTCAATTATTTTGTTGGTATTTTACGTGCGTTCTTCTTTTTAAAAGGGTGCATACCTAACAGGTAGAGTAGACTATTTGTGTCTAGCTATCTTTATTCGAACCTGTTTCGATAAAGTGCATTTCTACCGCATCTAGTCGGAATTAATTGGCTTTTTCATATGAGCTCTAACAGTTACTTGTTCAAGAATTTGTTTGTCGTTTGTACACGAAATTGTTGTACACAATAAATACTTTTCTAAGCATTTACTTATTTCTTTGTATTAGAAAATGAAAACTAGAAGCCAAAGAAAATTTTTGGTTTTGATTTTCTTTTCGTATCTATTTTTTACATAAACAAAAAACGAGTCTACAAATTTATTACTTTGATAATAATTAGTTTAACCAAATTTTAATAGTTTCCTTTTTATATTGAAAATTTCTATTGANTATTATTTATTTCCAAATAAAAAACAATATTTGCAGGAAAATGAAGATATGGGCAATTACAATGGAACTCCTTCATATATGGATCCAACAGCCTTTTCTGCGCCAAAGGTCTGTCCAAGAAACTATTATATATGTGGAATTATATTTCTGACTAATTTCTTAATTCCTCAGATTACAGTTAAAGCTCTCTATGACTACAAAGCTCAACAGCCTGACGAATTATCATTTTGCAAACACGCTATAATCACTAATGTAACAAAACCTGATTCTAGTCAGGGTTGGTGGAGAGGCGATTACGGTGGCAAAAAACAACATTATTTTCCAGCAAATTATGTCGTTGAGATAGATCGAATTGATCCTCAGGAAAATGGTGAAAGTGGAGTAAGTATTTGTAGATTAATTGTGAATTGTATTATATAACATATATCTAAGGATAGTTTTTTTTATAAAAAACTTCTTTTGGCGCTCCTAAGGGGTGAAACTAGAGTCCTCCTAAATCCAACTCATGTTGATAAGCAGTACCTTAATATAATTTAATTGGTATTAAAATTATACATGTTCATGTAATAATTGTATTTCAGTCTGGAGAACCTTTGCTGCAAGGCAATTTAGATATGAATGGAGCGGTTGTAGATTTCTTTCATAATGCAGAAAGACCAGGTCTGGAATGGATTCTTCGTATTGTTACCACAACCGCTTGCACCCCTTTAGAAGTTGCAGTCCAATCCAGAGAAATGGTAAGTTAAATAATTTTATTAACCTCTGTAATAATAACTACTTGTAGGCATTAGAATGGTCATTAGCAATAAAACAAACTGCTCAAAAGGCGAGCGTTTTAGAAACGCAACACAAAGAAATGGAAAAGGCGTTTAGAATAGCGAAGGAAATGTCCAATCTTATTATTTACTGTCGGTCAGTTACTTTCAATTTGGACAGAGTGAAGCAGAACTTTATTTTTTACGAAATGTCTTCGTTTCCGGAAAATAAAGCAGAAAAATTGATATGTCAGCAAGAAAATAAATTCTTCTTGAAGTATCATCAGGTAAGTTAATATACACTACAGGAATAAGTTTAACTGACCATAGGAAACTCTAGATTGTTTTCTGCTTTTATTTTTACCTGGTTTAACATATATCTTTCACAACTTTAAAGAGTAGTTCCAGTTTTTGTTTTATCTTACAAATTATCGTTTTTGGGATATTTTTTTACTTCTTTTAAACTAGACTATTTTAAAAACTCGGTAATCTATTGTTTTTTTTTATTTTATAGATACAATTTTCTCGAGTGTATCCTAAGGGTCAGCGAATTGACTCATCAAACTACAACCCTGTTCCAATATGGAATTCAGGTTCACAGATGGTAGCTTTAAATTATCAAACTGGTGATAAACCAATGCAGCTAAATCAGGCAAAATTCAGAGACAACGGTTTCTGCGGTTATCTATTAAAACCGCAATTTATGTTTCGGGAGGATTTTGATCCGTATGATAAAAACACCCTTGTCGCTGTTGAACCTATGACTATTTCAATCAGAATTATCGGTGCAAGACACCTTAGTAAATCAAAAAAAGGATTGAGCAGTCCGTTCGTTGAAATTGAAGTCCTTGGTGCTGAATTTGACTCTGGAATCAAACTTACAACCAAAACTATTCGTAAGTATATTACTTTTTTCATACTAGCGTTATTTTACATAATGTTAGCATTGAAATTGGTACCCAAAATTTTCATAAAAGGGTAGTAGTATAAAACTAGTAAAAAATTGTAGCTGATAATGGATTTAATCCAACCTGGAATGAAATTTGTGAGTTTGATGTAGTAAATCCAGATTTTGCACTGTTGAGATTTCTGGTACAAGATGAGGATGTATTTGGTGATCCAAATTTTATAGGACAAGCTACTTATCCTGTAAGTCCAACCGTTTTATTAAAAATTTATGTGAAAAAGAAACAAGGTTTAATCATTACAGGTTAAATGTTTGAGAACAGGCTATCGAAGTGTTTGTCTTAAAAATGCTTTTAGCGAAGATTTGGAATTAGCATCAATATTGATACATATCAGTATAAGAAACCCACTTGTAAGTGCATGAAATGTCGAAAAGTGGTCTAAGAAAAATTTGATTGTTTTTTAGGAGTCGTCAAATTCTATATCATTTAATCATCATGCAGAACTTGGGAGATTTTTTACGCCTTAAGTAGAAAATAAATGTAAATAGTATGATTGACGATTATTTTTTAGTTGCTCTGACTTTTACTACTTATCTGTAACCGCAGTATAGTCAATATTTACGATAGTAAATAAGTCGGAATATGTTTTTATTTGAAAATTTTACTACTGTTGTCAATAATACCTCCACATTGTATATTTCTAAAACTAGATGTGATAAAACTGTAAATGGTAATATTTTCGTATGAAATAACTGAATTTACATTAGGCATTTTTTAACTTAAGCTGTTAAACTTTGGAAAAATTCCTCGAATGTTAGTGATTTTTTACTACATTACTAAAAACCATCTACCCAGCATTCAAGTTGACTGATTTGTTTATAACATATCAGGTATTAGGTTCATGTGAATAATAAAAATTATAAGAACAAATTTTTATATCAGTGTAGTTTATTTAGAACACTACTTTAACAATTTTATCAACCACAATTATAAACAGTTATTAGGATCTGTAATATTTGAAATTGCCACCTAATTCCCTAATTACTGGTTTAATAATTTAGATCTACTGTTCATTGGGTGGCTTCTCATATCCTAATATTATGTTTAAATCTGAAGGTGTACGAAAAAACTCATGAATTAAAATAACATTGTCTCTTTCTTTAATTATAAATCGAGAATCTTTCCAGGGTAACAGTCCTTTTTCTTCTTGTTTTATTATATCTGAAAGTTTACAAAATAATTTTCTCTTATTGTTTGGAATTAATCCATAATAAATAAACGCATAATGGTTTGTTTTGGGATTATTGTAAATCCTAACTGGCATTCGTAAAATTAGGGATTGTACTATAACAGCGAAAGTAATTAATGCTGATAAAAAGATAAGCTGGTCTTGTTCAAAAAGTTTGCTTGTACTTCCTGCTTTGTTGTCACTTTTAAAACTTGAGCCATTTTTCAGTAAAACAACTATTATAAACATTGCGATACACAAGTATATAGTGAAGTGTCCATATAATAAGTAATTCTTCATTCTATTATTGTAAATTAATACAAACTGTTCAGGAACCTTGTCACTTAATTGTAATTCTTCCATGGTGGGTCTTTTAAACAAAGAATAAAACATTCGCCGACAGATATTTTGCGAATCTACCTTTAGCAATTTAGGGTACCTTCTTATGTTGCAAACATTTGAACATACAAATGCACGAGTTTTGTTCCTATAAAAGGCTTGTGAATGACTCTGAAGGGTACATTTACCCTGCAACAATCGAGCCTGTAACCCATATTTATTTTGCAACAATCGGACTATCATATTCAAATACTAATTTTATCCATTCTTCAGGTAACCGCTTTTTTGATGTTTGATTATTTTGACATGTTATCTATGGACATGGTTCAACTATCTATAAGTACAATAACAGATAAAATAAAAGCTTTATGGAATATGTAAAAATCAGAAGTAGTTGTAATCAGTCACAATATTATCTATGGTCACAATTTAATCTAGGGTCGTAAAGGTTTGAGGTTAGAAAAAATAGAACGGAATTTTCGGATTTTTCAAAAGGTATTGTTCGAGTTATTAAATAAAATAAATGTAATACAAACATTTTTAAAGTTACACTTTCCATATTTCATTGCGCTGGAAATGTTGTTTTACTTAAAAGATAAGGAAGGTAAAGGTAAATTATTGTAATAATTCAGCATTCTAATGTGTTGTACTGTTGCAGGTTCGATATTGTATTTATTAAAAGATAAATACACTATTGGGAGAAAGGATGCAGATATTCTCTTAACAAATGATCAGTCTATAAGTCGTAATCATGCTCTTTTAAAATTAGATGTAAGTTTTTGTATTTATGTTTTTTAAATGTGAATTACTTCTAAATTTCTTTAGAGGACAATGTCAAAATACCAGACATAAATTATGGAGTTGTTATTTAAATATGTGCTTTATCATTTTTAATTTGATTGTAAATTTCTTATAGAGCAACAGAATAATTTTGGTTGATTGTGGAGCAAAATACAAGACATATGTTGATAATACAAAACTTCAACCTCATGAAGATACAATTTTAAGTCCTGGAAATACAATTAAATTTGGAGCATTTGAAAGTATTTATAAGTGAGTAATGTCTAATGAAGCAGTTATTTTGTGCATAACTTAATCTTGGTACATCAGAATGATGTAAATTAAATTGGATCTTTTAGAGTAGGTTGTATAAACATAGTAACAGCACACTCATGTTTAACCAAAGAAGAAAAGAAAAAAGTAATTTGTCAAATAAACTTTTTAAATGGATGTTGTGTAAGTAATTGGACACCTGAATGTACTCATTTAACAGTCAACGAATTAAAACTTACTGTAAAGATGTTGTGTTGTCTGATAGAAGGAAAACCAATAGTTACAGTAAAGTTTTGGGAAGATTTTGCAAAGAATGTCAAAGAAAATCATTCCCCACCTGATCCTAACAATTACAAACCACCTTGTACAGAAATAATGTTAAACAAAAATTTACCATTAGATTTCAAAGAAGAAAGAAAACACCTATTCCGTAATAAAGTATTTGTTTTTATGACAGAAGCTGATAAAGAAACTGTGGAGTTGGTCATAAAATATGCAGGTAATATAGTTTAAAAAAATGTTTAGATTAAAGGATATACCAGGAAATCACATAAATAAGTTACTCCTAACAGTTTTTATTGTGCCTTTATGTCAAAAGTAATACTAATTTTCAAATGTGTAGCTGCTGGTATATTCTTTGCTCTTTTAATTTACTTAAGCATCAATATATAAAATTAATTTATTTTTTGTGGTGATATATTTCATATTTTAAGGAGGACAATGTATATCTTGGGAAAAGGAACATATAAAAAAAGAAGATATAGATAATCCTGAGAAAGAGTATTTAATTGTACAGAATACAGATAGTCCAACAAAAATACAATCCCAAGAATTGATAGATCTGATAGAACATCTAAAGCAAACAGGAAAACGTTTGATTCCATTTACAGAATTAGCCCTTGCAATTGTAAACTGTTCTTGCGAAAAAGATTGCAATCCTAACTTTGATAGAAATGCTGCATTATTAAAGGCAACATCCAGTCAATTAGCAGCTCCATGTAAAATACTTGTAACAGAAACTCAGACGCAACAAGAAGAACATTCCAAAAATACTCAAAACAATGCTACAATTCCTCCCTCATTTGATAATTCGTCTTGTAGTAGTCAAAATTTTGCACCCAAAATCAATAGTACGTTTGCTGAACCTAAAGTAGCAAATAAAAGAATTGCCGAAGATCACGTCGACAAGTTGACTGAAAACATATCAAAAAAAGCGAAAATGTTAACAGAAAATTTTGCTGTCTTTATCAACAAGTAACGTTTAAATGTGTTATATGAAAATATTCCTTTTAATATTTTTTTTTAGGAAAAATAAGGAAATCACCAAAGCAAACAACGCTTTCGATATTTTTACTAATAAAAAAGGTGATAAAGATTCGTCATCAGGTACATCGGAAACTAAAGAAAATAGCGTAAGTGAATCTATTACTTAATTTGTAGATCTTATTTGGTTCTATTTGGGTAACATTTAATAAGAAGAGTCTATTATATTGTAATTATTACATTTACCCATTAATTAAGATCCATTAAAACTATCGAACATGAAACAGCTATCAAAGTAACTTTTACATAAATGATAAAGATAAATTAAAACTCCTAGCCAGACTTTTTCTATCACGACTCTATTTCCGTATCCATAAAGTATCAATACGATTTTATAAATGAATTTATAAAAGTTGCAAAGAAGTTTCACCTCAAAAAACTTACAATAGTTACTTTTTATCGTTTTGATATATTGTTTATCATAATACACGCTTTCATTAGAAAGTGTTTTGTCATTAGGTCTTTTGATAAAGCATTTTTAATATTCCATAGATTTCTACAGCAGAACCAAAAAAACGTAAGTTTGACTTTGTTGAACCAGATGAAAAGCAAAACAGTTTAGTGGAAATAACTAAAAAGATAAATTTAGATAAAGATGAGGTTGATAATATATCTTTATTACAAAGCAAAATTTTGAAAAGTTCGACAAATCATTTTTCTTCGTCTGGCAAGACAAATCAAAATTCAACGACAAATATCCTATCTGGATCGTGGATTTCAATAAACAATTCAACGAATAAAATTGAAGAAGTCTGTAAACAAGAAGATATTGATGAAGAAATGTTACGGTTTGTTAATTCCTTCAGGAATTCTGTCGTTATCGTAGAAAAAAATCTTATTAAGTGTAAACCTAAAGCCAATACACTCTCAATTAATGCTGTTTCAAATTCAAATCGAAAAGATTTTAAAAAATTTAAAAGGGTAAGTTATTGTATGTATGTTATTAATAGTGTAATAGTGCAGTAATTTATCATTTTCCTGTTACTCTTATTCATTTTTTAAGCATATAATACATCCGTAACAGTCAATTTAAGAGGATATTGAGACATTATTTTTTAATAAAAAAGACTATTTTTTATAAATTCATTATTTGAAGGTAAAACCTCTAAAAGAGCAGTCCACAATAATTCCACGTTCGGAATGTGTACGAGTTATTTGTAATAGTGATGCTGTTTTGCAACCACAAGCACATGAAGAAGATAACGATGATAATGATGATATAGAATTTATTAATGGCCCAATCCAAAGTAAACAGCAAAACACCAGCAGTAAAAAGAAACCATTGAAATTTGAAATTTAGGCTGTGAATGAAACGCCGTTTTGAAATAAACAGGTTATTATTTATTTTTTTATTACATTTAACAATTTTCCTTTTAATTTTATTTGATTTATCGATACATCCATAATTATTAATATCCGTTTAATAATTTTTTCTGTTTTTTCTAACAATTTAATTTCGTATGGAATTTTTGTGAAACCAGTAGCACCTAAAATAATGAAATTTTTTATTTGTTACCAATACAAATTTTTTAATGCTTTTTTTTTTTTCAAGAAACTATTTTGTTATATGACAATTTCGTAATGAATTTCAGTTCCTATTTTTAAAAGATATACATATTTGTGCGAACAAATTCTAATAAATATGGTAAATTTAATTTTTACAAAAATTAGCCTGCAGTTACTTTACATAAATGAATAAGCTCCCAGTGTGTAATTAATGTTTCGTAATAATAATTTCTTTGTATGTATACCATCAATATCTTGAATTTCTGCCCATTTGTTAAAAGCCTGCAGAATTGGTTGGTAGCAATTAATTAATTTTTCATTAAAAGTGTTTCTCATTATATTATTCAATATTAACGATTCGTGGGGAGATAATTCTACCCATTTTAGAAACATGGCGGATATTGATGCAACTGAAATAATATATGACTTACAACTGAATCACAATGCCTACAACATTGTATGTACAATTGTTTTCGGGCTTTCTGCCCATTGTATTTAGAAATTGTTTCCCGACGTTTCGCTTACAATTACGACGGGCATTTTCAAGGGAAGCACGTTGCCCTTCTCGGGCTTAGGTATTGCGTAGTGCTAACTAGACAATGATCAGAAAGCCTGAAGACAGTAATTGTACTAAGGACGCCAGTCGTGAAAGCTTAAGTAATGTATGTATTTGTTTATAGATTTTTACGCCGATGACGCATTTAGTAATTCATCTTAATCAAAAAAACTTTTGAACGGCAGTATCGAAACATCCATCAAAAAAAAAAAAATTCAAGGTGAAAACCCCTAATCCGAATACGATTATTTTGCTTGCCGCGAAAGCCTAGCAAATACTATATATGGAAAACGCTAGATATGTAGTATTATAAAGTGGCGAGGGTAAATTCAAGTCGATCTTTTACAATCCATTTACACCACAAGTAAGCGTTTCTTTAAAAACTCATGTAATGATATCTAAGGCCATCACTTTTAATATTGTAATTTATCTTCAATCTCTTCTCTTTTTGGTTAAAAAAAGTCGTCGTCATTGACGTTTAAACCTTACTTATTATAACCATTTTTCCGTCTTCCTATGGAACTCGAATTAAGTGCCTAAGAATCCGTATAAAGTATATTTTAATCCATCACATGGTGGTACTTATCCACGTAAAGATCACTCCATCTAGAGATCTCGGTTTTCCAGTCTGTTGGCCACATTTTAAATGTTACCTAGTTGCGATGCATTGATTTACACAAATTCGTTATTAAATTATTTAATTTGCATTATTGTATTCTTCTATTAATTTGTTCATCATTTACATTACATATTTTCATATAGTATTTTTTTCAAATGTCATATTCTACTGTAATCATATTCTTTTATAACTATTTCTGATTTATTTTAAATCCTCACTATATACTTTAATTTGTAATTGCATAATCTTGCATTATCGTTATGTACTCACCGGCTTGCACAGTGTATAGGATATAGTAAAATATTTTAAATTCTTCGCTAAAATTGGAATCTCCACATTCTTTGCTTTTTTTATTGTAAAATAAAGAATTCAGTGTAAATACTTCCTGCATTATTTAAATCAATATTAGAATTTTTTTAATAATTTAGATTTTGACAAACATGTCACATTACATGTGGTCATGTAGAACACATAATGTAGCCGATAATTCTCTGCAAAAACCGCATCCGCTCAGGATAAATAAATATTAAACAAAACAGGAATTCCCAGTTTCAAATTCAATTTTTCTCTGCTGAAATGATTGCATCAGTTTTAATATTAGTTGCCCAACTACAATAACTATACACTTCCTTAAACATTGAAAAAATTGTGTACCAGACGTTTCATGCAATCTAATATTCTTTTTAATGCTATAACGAATTTTATTTTAAAAAATTTTCCTATTTTTCAGAAATCAATTCGTGATTTTTACATTATCAAAATTATATTATTTAATAAATTAGACATGAACTACTTCTGACAAACAGTATTCCAACTAATGCCCTAATTACAAGTTTTAACCAGCTTAATGAAATAAAAATTGTATTTAAAAAAGTTTTATTAACAGTTAAATTACAATTTATTTTTTCTTAGGAGCTTTTTCTTTCTTGGGTTTGGGCTTAGGTTTAGCTCCACTTTTAGGCATTTTCTTTTTACCATACAAAGTACCATCCCTGGAAGCCACCTTTTTCAATCGGTAGTATGCTTCAGTACGGATTTTGTTTCTTACTGATTTTGCCCTTCTGAGTTTAAACCTATCAAAATCAGTAAGCTGCACACGCTAAAAGAGAACGATAACTGTTACATGGTTATTTTACTATTTTCAAATGTACATACCTTCTTCTTGGCTATTAGCTTTTGAGCCCAAACAGTTTGAGACCACTTCTCATTTATTTTTCCCTGTTTCCAAGCTTGCCTTACAACACGAGTTGATCCTGTGTAAGGAAAGCGAATTTTCAATTTGGTCAAATGTATTTGATTTAACCTTATTGGTTGTCTGGAAACTTTTGTTTCTGGGCCATCAACCAAAACCTAAAAATAGCACTAACTTAGAGTGAAATTACCAATAATAGTAAGATTATTGTTAATATAACATTATACTCAGTTAATAACACAGCTTCATATATGTATCAGACGGCAATTCCTATCATAAATGGATCATCATAATGTAGTTTTGTTTACAATTACAACTTAAAAAATAGTATAAATTAAAAAATTTGTGCTTACCCTAGTTTGATCGATTACATCTACAATTGCAGCAAGTTTGCCTTTGTCTGGTCCATCCGAAATTAAAGCTACTCGCCCAGTTTCTACAAAACGTGAGAACGGCTGGAAAACAAATGGGTATAAAATACATGTGAGTAAATTAAATTAAATGAAGGTTATGATCAGTTGTTTTTGATTATTTTTAATAAAAGTGAAGGAAAATCTATTGCCAAACATAAATTGTATTAAGGGTAAGCCATATCTACAGTTAATGTTTTTTAAAAATAAAAATTAAAATCAGTAATTTATTGGCAATATAAATTAACCCAACTACTTACCATGTTGTCTTGTACTACTTTACCGGAAACAGAAGGAAAAGAATCTATTTTACAATTGACAAATGACAATCCTATGCTCTGTTCTGTGATCGTCTGACGGAAATACCAATGAAATACATAAATAATGTTTATTATTTTACAAAAGAATTGAAATGTAAATGTTATTAACACCCTTTATTAGTGTATTTACTACGAACTAACAAATTTGCCTGTAACTACTTTGTAATTTTTCATTATTTTCATTTCATTTTTAAAATAAAGATGGAAACAATTCAGGTATAAAAGATGAGAGCCCTGACATAACAATCTATGCATAACGTCTTTTGTCTTTAAGGATGTTTTAACGCTTATATTCTTTCTGAATATTGTCTACAACACAAACTGGCAAAACTGCATCATTCATATTCTAATCAAGTATTCACATAAATATTATTTTTTTAGAAATTGATAAGTAGATAAAATATGCTGTTAGTGTTGCAGCTTTGTTGGTTAATATTATTTGAAGGTGAACCAACTTCTATTTACGAATTAAATCGGGTTAATGTAATTGAACGCACCTATAAAATATGTTATCTATGGATCATCTATGAGCTTCCGGCTCATTCATCCCATCTTCATCGAGACCTTCGAGGAGGCCACAAATCACCATTTTTGCTGTTGATAAACTGGAACGAC